TAGCCCAACCAAGCCCCACTGGGCCGGATTGAGCTGAGTTGTGCTGGCGCTGGCAGGGATGCCGTAAGTTTGTTAACTTATCAATGGTTAACTGACATTTTTAAACGTGTTTTCATTTCGCAAAGGATTACGTAATTTGGGGTTTAAAACAAGTCATCATGCAGCAAAATCTCATAGTAAACCAGTTACCTGGGGATGCTGGCTTTCGAACGAACAATTTTCCGGCCGCACGCAAGAACCACACTCTGTAAAAGATGACTATCTAAGTAGCATCGAATTTTTCTCATTGATGTTCTATGCCCTTGAAAATCTAATTATATTTCATGGAAAACAGGCATAACAACATTCATTCTTAAGTTTTTAAGCCAGTTTATTAAGGGAATGAGGCTTTCGCGCTTGAGATCCCTATTCATATCGATAAACAGAAATAGAATCAATTGTTACATCAGCAAATGCGGAACTTTAAAAGTTAGCGGTAAGTGTGAGCCAGGCACAAACTGCCGCCGCCAAAACAATCGTGATTATATGTACAGTTGTTTCTTAGCATATGATCATCCAGTCCACACTTAAAGGATTCGACAATTTCGGAAAGTACCACCGCATCGGAGAGTCCGTTCCATGCCCCAATGACCCTGTGAGAGAAGGCATTCCGTCGGATGTCCGCATGAGCCAGCGTCCTCTGCAGTTTGAAGGGGTGACCACGCAGACGGTCAGTCCCGGCCAATTCGAAGAATTCATCAAAGTCTAGGGCGCACTCACGGCCTCTGACAATAATGTAGGTTTGAATGAGATCGCCGCGCAGTTGCCTGTAATTTAGAGGAAACAGATTTAGTTCGGTCAGCCTGGTTTCGTAAGGCAGATGATTAAAATTCGTGACCATATTCGTAGCCATCGCCTGTACTCTTTCCAGCTGTTGATAGTCTTTTTTTAACCACGGTCGGCAGGCCTGGACTGCAAACTCAAGGTGACACCGGACAAATGCCCCATAGGGTTTTCCGAACAGCTCTTTTTCGATCTGCGCAAATCCTGGCCGTGGCGCAAATAACGTCTTTATCGCGCTTTTGGCTGCCCTTTGACACTGTGATAGTGGTTTCAGCGAGAAGGTCATTAGGACGCCGAGTTCTTTCTGTTTCACAACATTTGAAAGAGGCTGACCACCAAGCACGTATTGAAAGTAATCGTCCTCCTTACTGGTCTTTTTTGGTGCGGAGTCTTAGGACCACAAATTTGTTCACATTAAAATTAAGTAGCCAAAGAGCTTACCAACCGTTCAAGCGGTTGAGACTATCTTGAAACACAAACCTGTCTGCGTCAGACCTGATGGTTCTCCACAGCTAAACCTCGTCAGCAAACATGATGGCGCTGCATCCCAGGTCGTCGACGCAGTCGTTAATGTACACTGAGAACAGCAACGGACCTAAGACTGAGCCCTGGGGGACACCACTTGGAACGGCCGTAGGAGTTGACCCGAGGCATCAATGCACATGGTTTGGGATCTCCCCGGAAGAAAATCTGTTATCCATGTTAGCGGCCTTCCTCTTATCCCAATTTCAGACAGTTAGTAGATAAGCGATTGTATGGGTTGCTGTCGAACGCCTTCTTGAAGTACGTGTAGATGACAGCGACCTAATCCGTCTGTAGAAAATTAGGACTTGAAGAAGGAGACACGATCGCCGGGACAAGAGCTTTATTAGCCTGACGTTTCGGATTCCTACTCCAATCCATCATCAGAGACAAAAGAGCAGAAACGGGTGGTTGTTGCACAAGGGGCTGCGGTATTTATAGGATGCAGCAGCCATGCTACCGCATACCTATGAACGTTCACGGTTTCCCCCTTCATCCGGGATTGTCACACTTGGTGTGATCATTGCTTGATGGCCGACATTCGAGTCGATAATTGCTGCAATTACATCACGTGCGCTGGATGTTGGCGTGATGATTGCTCGACCATCTGACGCGTTGACCTGGGTGTTGGGAAGAGTGTTCACTAGTGCGCTCCCCGCGTGGCCAATTACTCCGCCTAGACGAAGTCTCAGCACGCTGTATTGAATGGGAAGATCGTTGCACTTGTTGATGGACTGGGGGCCAGTAAACAATGATTCTAGTAGCTCCGGGCTCACTCGGTTGTCACCTCTTGCGAGAATTTCGGCCTCATCGAATTTAAATGTGTGGCCGGATCTCGTCGAATGAGCCGCAACTTGAGAGCTGGCGTCATTTCTGCGCACTGCTGCCGCGTGTTCGGGCATTCCCGTTCGGAGCTGTCTTCCGGTTACCCGACGTAGTTGCTTTGTCCGCAACTGCACCAGATACGATAAACGACTCCAGACGTTTCTAGCCGTGGCTGTGGGTCTTACGGTTTCATGATCAGACGCCTGATGGTTGCCTCCGGTCTGTGTGCCACTCCAATCCCAAGTGGTGCGAGAAGGCAGCCGACAGCTTCCGAAACGTTCTTGACATACGGAAGTGCCCGCCAAGATTTGGTGTCCGTGCGGTTAGGCCTTTCGTCCCTTTTGCGTATGCACCGGTCGACGAAGTTGCGCGGGTAGCCATTGGCTTTGAAGACCCGTCGGAGGTATTGTAGTTCAGCAATCTTGTCTTCCGGCTCACTGCAGTGCGTTTCGACACGCCGAAAGAGCGTCCTTAGACAACTGCGTTTGTGGCTGATTGGCTGGTTACTGTTGAAGTTCAGTACTTGCATCGTATTTGTCGCTTTCCTGAACACTTTGGTCTCTACTCCACCACAATCTTTGCGACATACGAGGACATCCAGGAAGGCCAGCTGGTTGTTCTCTTCCTCCTCCATCGAAAATAGAATATCCGGGAAGACGGCGTTGAGATGTTCTTGGAACGTCAACACCTGATCCCGTTCGATGACGATGAAGGTATCATCCACATACCGGGCCCAGAATTTCGGTCTGTGGTGTTGGAAAACCAGCGACTCTAACCGTTGCAGGACCGCCTCGGCGATGAATCCTGAAATCGGCGAACCCATTGGTGTGCCGTTCACCTGTTCGTAGATTGTCCTGTCGAACGTGAAGTACGTCCTGAGACTGAGCTTCAGGAGCTGAAGTATTTGGCCGTGTCCAAGACGGTTCTCCGTTTCATCATATTTGCTTTGTAGTAGCAGTTCAATTGTCTCGATCGCCAGGACGCCACTGCTGCAACGATCTTCCCATTCAATACAGCGTGCTGAGACTTCGTCTAGGCGGAGTAATTGGCCACGCGGGGAGCGCACTAGTGAACACTCTTCCCAACACCCAGGTCAACGCGTCAGATGGTCGAGCAATCATCACGCCAACATCCAGCGCACGTGATGTAATTGCAGCAATTATCGACTCGAATGTCGGCCATCAAGCAATGATCACACCAAGTGTGACAATCCCGGATGAAGGGGGAAACCGTGAACGTTCATAGGTATGCGGTAGCATGGCTGCTGCATCCTATAAATACCGCAGCCCCTTGTGCAACAACCACCCGTTTCTGCTCTTTTGTCTCTGATGATGGATTGGAGTAGGAATCCGAAACGTCAGGCTAATAAAGCTCTTGTCCCGGCGATCGTGTCTCCTTCTTCAAGACTACTTCCTGGGACTCGGCTGTTCGCTTCCATTGGCAGAAAATTAGGTCTTCAACCAAATTTATACTTGTAGGTAGGGTACAATTCGATTTTAAAAATGGTTTCTAATCATTAGATGTTCTAATACCGTGAAAAGCCCCTCCAGTAAACATTTTGTTTTAGCAGTTAGCAATGGTGCATGTAAGGCTTACAATATAACTAAAATCCACTGTCAAATTTAATGAACCGCTTATAGTTTCCACCTAATACCGCAGAGAAATGTAAGGTTTCCGTACTCCGAAAACCTATGGTTTGTAGGCTGTAAAGGCTGAATGCAAGGCAACCGCAGCTCGAATTAAAAATTATTGGGGAATTGGACAAGGTTTTGAAAACCAAGTTATACCCTTCCTTCGGGTATAACATTGAAATAAGACGTAATTTCCAACTGAATTAGTGAAAGAATGAATAACGTCATGCATGTTCCCCATGAAATAAATTGAATTGGCGAGGGCATCGAAAGCCAATAAGAAAAACTCGTGATGTCCAGTAGCTCTTTTTTGCCAAGTGTCGGTTTTGCATGCAACCGAAAAGAAGTTCTTTCGAAAGCCAGCACCCCGTGGTAAAGGAATTATAATATAATTAGGCTGCGTGATGACTAGTTTCAAAATCCTCTTAAGTAATCTTTTCGAAACGAAAACACACTTCAGAAATCAGGTTAACATTTCATGAGTTACCACACCTAATGTATGTCTGGCTGATATTACTAAGAATGTCACTGTTACCTTTATCTGCCGAACAGCAGATAGGAGAACTAATGGTTAAGACGAATACTGTTAGCAGTAACTGAATAAATAAGCAAGTAATACGCCTACATGATTGATATGTCGAAGTGATGGATTAGATCAGGACTGCTGCCACTAGTGTAAACGCAGGTTGTGGGTCGGAATGGGTGTGTCGAGCAGACCTACTGCAAGTCTTACCGGGTGTAAGGCTGTGCCGGTACTGCCACTTCTGTAAAACTTACTATGCTAGTCCCCACGCGAAAACATGTGTATGCTGCGTAAACCACGGAAAAGGTAAGGCTTGTGTACCTGGCTAAAAATGGAAGTAATACTGGGGGACATTGGACTGCATATGGAAGATCAGTCCTTCCATCAGCAATTTTCGTATGCGCAGGCAGTGCCGATAGCGCAAGCAGAAGATGTTGCTGCACAATCACTTCGAGATATGACACTGCAGATCCTGCTGCTGATGGTGCTCTCCTAATGCAAATACGATGTGGGCTATATGGACTGCTCAGTCTACGACAACCAATAATGATACCGCAAGCGCGCATTAGATAGCCTGTGTACCGAAGTTTACTTCGACTCATCATTCTGCAGAACACCTGATGGCGTTGTGTAATCCCCTACTACTACTACTACTACTACTACTACTACTACTACTACTACTACTACTACTACTACTACTACTACTACTACTACTACTGCTACTGCTACTGCTACTACTACTACTACTACTACTATTTTCGTCAATATGCATACCACTAAATACTGTAAATATTACGAACAGTAAACCAACAAGTGAAAAAATAACGGATACCGTTGTTGCGAGCGATAATAATTTAAGAGATTAAAACTGAAACAACTAGTCATTTCCTTCCTGTGAGTACCTTTGCCGATCACGGACAAACTGCCTTGCGACTAAGCAATGATGGTGTGTACTCAGTGCGCCACGACTTCAGGCCATATCCCATGTTGTTTGAGGCGGGACGCCACTTGGGTGTAGGATTTTAGTCTGTACAGATGGATAGTGGAAAGTTTGCAACCGGACGATTGTGCGGCCGGCGCCCCGGAGGCGTCGTCCGCGTGGGCAACGAGCCATTTGTCACCGAAAGTCGCCGCTGCAAGTGTCGTGACAGATTGTTTACGCGGTGGTCTGGACTGTGGCCGCCTGTGGTAAACCAATCAGCGGGAGGAGTTGCGTTGACTGGTTCCGTGTCCACGCGAAATTAGTGACAAGCCTCCCATGGTGCAGGCAGAGGATCGACCAGATGCGTGGTACAGACAGTGAATTGCAAAGAGACTAATCTAAGCCGGGCAGACGTGTGTACCTAAAAAGGCTTTCGCTAGGGCGTAGGCGCAGGCGCTAGCGAGAGGCGCAACGTTGCTCTTATGATTCCCCACAGCCTATCCACTGGTAAGAGAGTAATGCAACATTCGAACTTTAAATATGGAACCCAGAACTAAATGTCAAGTCACCCATCTGTCCAAACTACGTATGTTTAGCACAACCTGATTAATTTACGTCACCGACGTTTCCACCTAGGTAGGGAGGTTGCGTCGGGAGATGGCGTGAATGTCTGCAGTGAACAGCGTATAGTACCCGCTGTCTACTATGTGCCCGCGGGCATGCAGCGGCCACCCCAACCCCCGTAGTCTTTGTTCTCGCGGTCGCAAAGCACTTACTATAACGTTTGCGGTGGCACCAAAAGGCCTCGGTAGGTAGGGTCTAAATGTAGACACCCACTCAAGGGTCTTCATGCTGGACACTGCGTGACCTCGAAGTGTTCGTAAGGTTGCGACAACTGTTTCCACAGCCCCACTCGGTGTCTTGTGCCTGCATGCTCCTTTCCCCACTCCGTCCGACCATTCATCATGTTCACAGTTCCAAGCTAAACAAAACACTCGAGTTTTCTGACTGGCCTGTACTTACCATTATGCGAGGGCGGTGTTGGCTTTGAACGACGCCTCTTCAACCAGCTCCAGTCAAGACATGACCGCTGGCCCACTATCACATCCATTAACCTCCCCCAGCCCTACCTCCCTAGTCAATCTGAAATTTATTCAGGGGCCCTATGTTTGTTCATTGTCCGAGTTGTATGACAGGATGCATGCATGGATAAGCATACACGAGCTGCAAGAACAACCCCTTCCCCCCTACGGCATGATGTGATGGCGTTTTAGTCACATTTAACTACAGCATGAATTCTGCTAACTTCCACCTAAACGCAATTTCCACCTCGGTAAGTCTCTGATCCACCCTCCGAGTAAACTGCTAAGCCAGCGTACGACCTTCGGAGATGTTAACCCGGTAAACGGATAATGAGATCACCTCGGGTATGAGTACTGCAAGTGACAAACATATGCTCTCCGCCTGAATCTAACTGCTGCAGTAAATCTGAAACCAAACCAAAGAATTTTAACCAAACCGCACAAGCGCGATAGATAAGATAGAGAATAAAGAACTCCAGTCATTAAGCCGTTTGAATGCAAAGAAATATACCTTGCTGTCGAGAAAAAATAAGTAATTGTTTATAAAGGTAATACTACCGAGACACTGAAGAATTGCTGTCTTCTGCAATGTCATATGGGCAAAGCAAAAATGAATAACGTTAATTGGTACGCCGCGTCCAATCATTAGCAGCATCAGTTCCGAAAACCGGTTTGTCCGAAGATAAAATTGGGCACATAAGTAGTCGCAACTTTGTGGTTTGATTAGTATGGGACATGATGACGTAGGTACAGTAGGTGGGCTAACTCACGAAGTGTCATTCGAAATTCCGAAATGCACTTGCGTTTCGAAAAGATTATATAAGTGGGGTTGTAAACTCCACCATCGTCCAACGTAATTCTATAATAATTCACTTACCTCAGGATGCCTGCTTTTAAACGAACTTCTTTCCGGCTACATGATAGAACTATACTCTGTATACA